ATATGATAATTCTTATTGTTAGGCAAGTTAATCACGTGAAATGTTCCTTGGTTAAATGTGTTTTCAAGTGAGACCTGAAAACCTAACAAGCTGTTAGACATAATAGGCCTAATACCCAAATAAGCTATTAGAGGCCTGTCTCTATTTAGCATATATATTTAGCGTCTTAGATACTGTGAGAAGGTATGTGTACCAGAGTACATAAATGGTGTGAGTGTACATAGAATGAGTACATAAGGTGTGTGTGTACATAAGTGGCTCACACAGGTGGTATTTTCATGGCGTTTCCGTCACCTCTGAGGCTATTCTCAACACTGGTTACTTGGAGCCAAATTCACAAAGCAGTTACGCAAGTACTTACGAACCTGTACATCTTTCCAAAATCTTTGATGGCTTTATTTACATTTATTAAACAGTTTCCAAACATGTAAGCTTCCCAATCAACAGTTATAATTGATATAAACAGCCTCCTGGTATTTCCGAGCTCATTAACTGTTTAATAAATGTAAACAAAGCCGTCAAAGATTGAGAAAAGATGTACAGGTTCGTAAGTGCTTACGTAAGTGCTTCGTGAATCTGGCCCCCCCTTGCCTGCGACTGTTACAGAGGTCTGTAGGAACTGTGACGTCCAGACTAGTCATTATTTTGCGGTTGATTGGTGTTTGCTGGCATATTATCATCTGCGTTCTCATTACGTGTTCTTTCTCCAGCTGTTTAGCCTTCAGTTTCGTATTTATAAATCCATTACATGGGATTTATAGGGACTAGGGTCCCTAGGAGACCCTAGGAGACGTGACTAGGAGATTCGAGAGGAGGAGGAGGAGGACTGTAGCGATGAAGCTCACATTGTCTAGTCGGCTTGGATTCCTTTGGGCTTCTATAATTGTTTTGGAGTCCATGTTTATGAATACTTTATTTACGATGGTTGAAATATGCGCGTTCAAGGGATAGTTTGATGGCGAACATTAGAGTCTGAAATGAGGAACGGTTGTCACTTTGTCGAGTGAAAGAGGAGGATGAGTTGAAAGCTGCAGTGGCGTGGATGGATTGTTGATCCGAACTGTAGTTTCTCAGTGTGCTGAGGGGTGTATTGTGGGTCGTTGAGACTGTGGGGGACTGAGGTGGCGTGGGTGATACAATTCCTTCTTTCATTTTAGAAGGTTTAATCTCCACTTGTTTACAGCTGCGAGCCACTTCTGCAGGCTGCATCCGGCATTGGGCTAAAAGATCTAAGGTTGCTCTTAGGGCTCGCATTCTAGTTCCAAGTGTAAGGGAGAGATGGTGAGAGAGAGGTATGGAAGGAGAGAGGGATGCTGGGAGGGAGGGTGGGAGAGATGTGATATTCAAACACCAATCTCAGCTATCGGGACAGGATTACACTTTTGGCGTCGACGGACTTGTGTATGGAATATATTGGCAGGTTCTTTGTCGCTAGCGGGAGGTCGCGCTGAGGGTCGTCAGTCGCGATTGTTAGGCTCGCGGAGACGACAATACCACGCGACGAGCAGACACCTCCACTCACTGGCTCCTACCAGCTGCTATGAGGTGGGACACACGCCGCTGTGGTGGTGGTAGAGGTGGTGTTGGTGGTAGTGGTGGTGGTAGAGGTGGTGGTGGTGATTGTGGTAGTGGTGGTGGCAGTGGTGGTGATGGTGGTAGAGGTGGTGGTGGTGGCAGTGGTGGTGATGGTGGTAGAGGTGGTGGTGAAGGTGGTGATGGGGGTGATGGTGGTAGAGGTGGTGGTGGTGGCAGTGGTGGTGATGGTGGTAGAGGTGGTGGTGAAGGCGGTGATAGTGGTAGTGGTGGTGTTGGTGGCAGTGGTGGTGGAGCTTACCTAACATTGCTTACCTAATAGTGTCTTTAGAGGAGTGAGATCAAGCTCATCATGCCCCGCCTACTAGCCCTGTTGTGCATGTTTCGTTATATCTTGACTATTTTGACGTTCAAGTTCCTTGTCGAATCTGGCGTTATCAAAGTTGTGGATGGAGGTGGCTTCCACAACCTCTTTCGGTGTATTCCACTTGTCGACCACCCGCACTGGGTACGAGTTTTTCCTTGTATTCCAACTGTATCCTCTCGTATTACATTCTTTCAATTTGAAGAGGCTATCCTTTTACCCTCTATCTGATCCACTCGGGAACTTTTATGTTGTGATCATATTCCCTCTGTGCTTCAAAAGGCGCGGGTTCCATGCCGGTGCTGTATATTCCTGCACTGGTGTAGCAAATGTTGTGTAGACTGCATTCAAAGAGTCCTAATTAAAACGGTGTTCTTATATTTTTCAGCGTCCCACATGCTGCTGATGTCGTCCTGTTAATGTGTGCCGCTGGTGTTGATGTTATAACTATATCCACTCCCAAATCTTTCTTTCCGATTCCTGTAGCTGTATTTCCCTAGTGGTGCAGACACGTTTTTGGTCTCCTCTCCCTTATCTCATCTTCATTACCTTGCATTTATCGGGATTTAATTCCAAAAACCATTTGTTTTACCATTCCTGGAGTTTGTCAGGGGTTCTCCTGTAACTTCCTGCAGTCCTTATCTGTTTTTACATTCCTCGTCAGCTTTGCTTCACCTGCAATTATTGGCACTTACAATCTCTGTCTCTCTCTCTCTCTCTCTCTCTCTCTCTCTCTCTCTGTCTCTCTCTCTCTCTCTCTCTCTCTCTCTCTCTCTCTCTCTCTCTCTCTCTCTCTCTCTCTCTCTCTCTCTCTCTCTCTCTCTCTGTCTCTCTCTCTGTCTCTCTCTCTGTCTCTCTCTCTGTCTCTCTCTCTGTCTCTCTCTCTGTCTCTCTCTCTGTCTCTCTCTGTCTCTCTCTGTCTCTCTCTCTCTCTCTCTCTCTCTCTCTCTCTCTCTCTCTCTCTCTCTCTCTCTCTCTCTCTCTCTCTCTCTCTCTCTCTCTCTCTCTCTGGTAGGTGGTGGTAGTGTTGGTGGTGCTAGTAGGGGTGGTACACTTGTGGTGATGATGGTGGTAGCGGCGGGTGTGGTGTTAATGGTGATATTTGTGTTGTGATTGTTGGCGGCGGTAATGGTAGTGTTGTGAATGTTGTGGCGGTAATGGTAGTGTTGTGATTGTTGGTGGTGGTAATGGTAGTGTTGTGAATGTTGGTGGCGGTAATGATAGTGTTGTGATTGTTGGTGGCGGTAATGGTAGTGTTGTGAATGTTGGTGGCGGTAATGGTAGTGTTGTGATTGTTGGTGGTGGTAATGGTAGTGTTGTGAATGTTGGTGGCGGTAATGATAGTGTTGTGATTGTTGGTGGCGGTAATGGTAGTGTTGTGAATGTTGGTGGCGGTAATGGTAGTGTTGTGATTGTTGGTGGTGGTAATGGTAGTGTTGTGAATGTTGGTGGCGGTAATGGTAGTGTTGTGATTGTTGGTGGCGGTAATGGTAGTGTTGTGATTGTTGGTGGTGGTAATGGTAGTGTTGTGATTGTTGGTGGTGGTAATGGTAGTGTTGTGAGATATTTTTTTCATTTACACTTCAAGTGAGAGAAGAGGGGCGCCGGACGGATCAACGTCCCGTCGCCGGACGTCAATAAAAGTCCACAAAAGGTACAGTTGCTGACCAGATGAGGCAGCCACTCGCCTTAAGACATATAGACATTCGTAATATTATTTACTATGCTACCCAACCCACGTATGTGAAAATAGCACATGTGGCGACGTTTCGATCCGCCCTGGACCATTATCAAGTCGTGTAAAGAAAGAGTGGTAGAGAAAGTCTTTATAATGTAATAAAGTGTTATCTCTTATGTCTCTATTTCACGTCTTTCTCTTTACCATTTGGCTATCTGCCGTTTTCTTTATTCCTGTTAACTTCTATTGTATACGTCTTCCAAGGTGGTCCACAACGTCGTCATTCGTTTTATTATATGTATTAGATAGAGTTTCAGGCCGACAAACTGGCGCCTCTCAGATCCTTGTCTCTGACTCATGTATCTCTATGTATGTATTAAATAAAACTAAACAAAACACCTTTAAGGTGTTACAGATGTTTAGTGATCAGCCACATTGTTGTGGCTTGCTGTCTACATTTGGTACATAGATTCACCTATTTTTCTTTTAAAACTGCATTTTTGAGTACAGAAAATAGTGGCATTCTTGCCAGTCTCGTGTACGAGCTGGTCGACTTGTTCGTAACTGACTTTAATGCAGAATAATAGATCAAATAGATTTTGTGAAAAGCTTAGAGCAAAATAGAGAAATAGATCTGCCATTAACCTGTCAGTGGTGCCACATCCCACTGAGAGAGAAGTTGAAGTGCATTGTTTGTATATGGTTGGGGCTGAATGAAATGGCTCACATGGTAATGATGTCACTTTATTTACGAAACTTTACATAAATTGTTTTGGCACATATTGACACGCTGACACACACACACACACACACACACACACACACACACACACACACACACACACACACACACACACACACACACACACACACACACACACACACGCTCGCAAGCACAAATAGGTGAGTACACACATGCACCCAAACACACGCACATGTACATAAACACTATCATATATTTACACGCATGCACACACGCACACACACTCGAACACAAACACACCCACATATCCACACACCTACGCCATTATGAAACGCACATGTATGCTTCAAGGTGGTTGTAAAAGAGGTTAAAATGACCATTGTATGGATTGCTTAAATGATAACAGTTTCACAAGAATTTTATTTTATCATTATTCAATCCAACTCCCAACCGAGTAACGAGACACGCTATCTTGAGATTACAAATCTATCATTTAATATTCAAATTTAGTAATGATATAATGTCCTTTTTGGGATGGGGGGGGGTGAATTCAAAAGCAATGGGGGGGGGGGGGAAGTTTTGATAACAGCACTTTAAGGGTTAAACAGAGATTGTCTATAACAATCTCTTAACTGATACTAAGTGCACACACACACACACACACACACACACACACACACACACACACACACACACACACACACAAGGGCCCACCCTGGCCCAAATATTCACATATAAAACACTGATATTTTTGGAGTATCAACAAGGGGACTCTAAAACTTTATACAAATTTTTATAATTATAGTCTTTCTTTTCATATATCTATACGTATATCTATAAAGAGTGAGAAAGGGATGAGTAAAAGAGAGAAAGAGAAATAGTGAGTGGGATCGAACAAGAGACATAGACACACACGGACATTCACATCAACATACAGACACTGTAAGGAAGAGTCACTGTACTCCAACAGTGTCTCATCACCACGCTATAAAGAGAACAAATCACATATATATCACAAGGCATTTGAAGATCAATAATAACAGCTGGCACCGACACTGGCCAGAGATATATGATCATGACCGAAAAGTATATTCTTCAGTTTCGAACAAATGAAACCCAGCATTGTCATTTTCTGTGTACCCGCTTGCCTTTTAGTTGCTTGGGTTAAACTCTAGGAGCCACTTGTATAATTTCTTCAATTTGTCCAGGTTACCCTTTAGTTTTTGGCAGTCTTCCATTGTATTAATCCTCATCAGTTTTCATAGCCAGTAAAGATTGAGAAGGCGGTTATCCCATCTGAAGGGATACGTATATCAAGAACAACTTTGGCCCCGAACTCCGCTGCTAAAGTGTCGCAATTCTAAAGTCTCTCTCTGGCTGTCTCTCTAAATTATGTTATTTGGGAACTTTCCTGTCCACTTGTTGTACTATTGACTGTTTCGCTATCTTGTGCACCAGTCTCTGGTAGGACACTGTGTTGAAGACTTGTTGACAGTCCAAAAATATACAGTTTGCTCACCCTGCTCTGGCTCGTCTGATTCTGTCGCCTCGCCCCCGGAATTCTGTCATGTTGGGGGATGGAAAATTGTCAGGATTATATATCAATGGTGATGTGTTACAGTCTTTCTTCCCTCTTAATTTTCTTTCTTCGCCAAGTGTTATTTTTCTTAAAATGTTCTTAATTCTCTCCAAATACTCTTTCTTCTAAATATTCTTTATTCTTTCCAAATATTATTGCTTATGTTCCCTCAAATGTTCCTCCTCCCTATCAAATGCTCAATTAATTTTATTTTGATAGTTGTTTCCATCACCTTGCAACGTATGCAAGCAAAGACCACAAAGTTGCTAAGTGTCTCCTCTATGTGTTCGTCTTTGTGTTGCATTGTGTTGCATTGCATTAGCTGTCTTCTAACTTCCTGGTAGTTCTCTGGTAGCTGGTAATAATTATTATTATCATTATTATTCATTCCATAGTTTGCCGATTTAGAAATAAAAATCAATCATAACGAGGATGTAGAAATATGTTTCATGTTTCAATTTTCGGATTAACCACTACACTTTTGTTCCCCCGTTGGTATTCGTGTTGGATAATCAACACTACAGCAGATACACAGAAAATAACGCTTAGGCATAGGTAGATGGGTAGATATGTACGTAACTAAATGGGTAGACATGGGATAGGGATAGCACAAGGAGGTAGTTTCACCACGTCGGTAACAGGACGATTAGGGTAAGAGTCGCAAGGAATTGAGGTAAAGGCACAAGAGGACTGGAGGTCCCGTGAGGTGATAACTCGTCCTCCACTACGTCGCTGTGGCCTCCGATATGCATGGCCGCCGGCTGACCTGTAGGCAGAATAGAATATAATTATCAAGGGAAATGTGCGCCAGCCATTACGACTATATAGCATTGGGAAGGAGTCAGGATATGGGTTTGGGAAGGGAAGGAGCCGCAACCACTTAGTGAAACACACACACACGATAATGTGGTGGAAACTGACTCCATACACAGCTTCATGTGTAGATATGATAGAGCCCAATAGGCTCAGGAACCTGTACAATAGTTGACAGTTGATAGGCGGGACCAAAGAGCCAGAGCTCAACCCCCTCAAGCACAACTAGGTAAGTACACACAGTAGGTGTACTCACCTACTAGACGAGTACTTACCTACTAGGTGAGTACACCCACACATTCCCATTACCGGGTCGCTGGTCAGGAAAATAGCCACTTATCATAGACAGTTATGAGGAAAATAGCCAGTTATCATTGCTAGTCAGAAATAAGGAAAATGGCCAGAGAGTCATTATAGATAATAATAAAAGAAATGTACGGTCATCATAGACTGTCCATGAAATAGACAGTCCATGATAACAAGAAAAATACAGTTCTTATAGACAGTCGGCTATCACGGAAATAGGCAGTTATCTTAGACATTGAGTAATCAAAGAAATAGCCGGATAGTTATCGTAGACAGTCGAGAAACAGTAACAGGGAAAGAACCAATAAATTATGAGACTTAAAATTTTATAAAAATAATCATTAAGTTATTTAAACAAGTTGATAATATTGAATAAAAAAAGATATCAATGAATACAACAAAATTATTAGCCAATATTCAGGAAAAATTGCTATTAATTTATAAATTGCCCTGAACAGTCGGGTAGTAATCACTTAAGTATTAAACACATACAATCTTAAACTGTCAATTAAACTGATAAACAGATAATTCAGTTGAATTAAATATATTAAAAGGATTATTTGAACAATTTTAAATGTTGAATAACAAAATGAATATTATGACTATAAATTAAATATATATATATATATATATATATATATATATATATATATATATATATATATATATATATATATATATATATATATATCTCACACATCCCTACACCCATTCATGCTTCCCAATCTTCCATCAACTTTTCCACAATCTTACAATCTTTCATCAATCCTCACTAACCCCTCATTATCTCTCCCCAGCCGTCACATAAATCCACCTCAATCTTCACATCAATCATCCCCAATCCTCACATCAATCATGCCGAACCCCCACATCAAAACGACATCATTCCATCTGTGACTTATTTCTTCAAGTGAAGGTGTGGACACCTGGCCAGATAGGATGTTGTTGTTTGGGATTTAGCTACTCAGAACGAAATGTCCATGTAGCACGGGCTATGGTGAGCCCGTAAGCCAGGTAGGAGATAGTAATGAAAGCGAGGATAGGCTCCCAAAATTGTCTTGAATATTTCCTTCATACACAATTAAACTTAAGGTCAGTATTTCGTAGGTTTCATAGTTCACATCCATACAAGCTGAGACACTGTTAAATCTCTTTAGTTTCGACTAGTTGTCAAGATGACCAGATTCATTCATAAGGTCATTTGTTCTGATTATCAGGTCTCTGAGAACTACAGAAAAATTGGCAAAGGGGCCTTTTGTGGATCCAGACGTTTTTCAGAATAATTTACTGGATTCTCTGTGCCTATTATTTTTAGTTTAAGAAGTGAATAAAGTGAGTTTTGTGAGTAGGTAGATAAAGCGACACAGTTAACAGGACTGAATGTGTATTTAACATTATATCTTTCACATATATTTTTAAAAATGTTCCAAAACCGAAATTTTGTATTCAGTGCTAACAGAACTAGACCATCAGCATAACTGAACACAGTTGTCTTAGACCAGCCTATGCAATAGACATCTCTAGTGACTCATAAAACTTTTAACAATGGATCAATAAAGACAGTAAATAATAAAACTAAAAAAACATCTTATTTGCCCGCATGTATAGTAATAAAGTTTCAGCGAGAACATCACTCTAGTTCACAGCTACTTTGAATACCCGATAAGAATTATATGAGCATCAGTCCCCCTCAACCACCCTTTCTCTTCATCCTCCTATCAACCCTCCCTATTCCTGCCATTCTCTCTCATATCTCCCAATTTATAATTGTATCTCTCTCCTCCGCACAACATTCCTCGCTCTTTTAACCATCTATTCACTTTTTCTTCTTACCACATCTATTTACCCATCTTTCCCCATCTATTTACCCATCTTTCCCCATCTCGTCCTCTTCCCCACTCCTCCCTCTAACCCCAGCCATCCACTGCCCCGTCCTCCCCATGGCTCACCAGAGACGTGCACTGTGATCCTGGCGGGCGTAGCGAGGTGCGGCTCACATCTATACATTCCGGAGTGGGACCAAGTGATGTTCTTGATGGTGAGCGTGCTGCCGTAGCGATGGTTCTGGATCCTCACGGGCTTATTGGGGTAGTGGTTGACTATGCTGCCATTGTGGTACCAGAAGATGTAGAGCGGGGGCTCCGTGGCTTGCTCTACTGTGCAGTGGAGTCGTAGGCTGTGGCCAAGGTGGAAGTGGATCTCCGGGTATCCCTCTATGGTCGCGCGGGCCTCTGTTCACAGGTGGAGGGTTAAATGCGTTTGATTAATTGGTGGGGGTGAGTGATGGATTGGTGAGTGAAGCTTAATTTAAGTTTTGTTATGGATTTAAAGGAGATGTTCTCTTCGGGAACCTGTGTTTGGATGTCCTATTATCTATAATGTCTTTTTCTTTCTCTATATCTTTATTCTTTTCTTTCTTTCTGTCCTTATCTCTCACTATCTTACGTTTTCTATGAAAGTCAGTTTCTCTCTCTCTCTCTCTCTCTCTCTCTCTGTCTCTCTCTGTCTCTCTCTGTCTCTCTCTGTCTCTGTCTCTCTCTCTCTCTCTCTCTCTCTCTCTCTCTCTCTCTCTCTCTCTCTCTCTCTCTCTCTCTCTCTCTCTCTCTCTCTCTCTCTCTCTCTCTCTCCCTTCCCCACCACTTACCCACGACCTTGAGAGTGAAGAAGAGTGAGGTAGGAGGATGTGTGGTGAGCTGGCACTCGTAGAGGCCAGCGTCTGAGAGCCTCACGTCTCGTAGGGACAGCTCCCACAGCTGTGTTGGGAGATAAGTTACGCTGTAGTGGCTATGTTGGTTTGGGGGATACGATACTTACGACATGTCGTAACGACCTCTTAGACGAGGGTCTAAGATGGTTTAAGTCATATCCTCATCTTGTGATATGAGGATATGATCAAACTTCACACGACGAAACTTCGAAACAAACTTCACGAAGTTAAGGGACGACGACGTTTTGGTCCGTCCTGGACCATTCACAATCGACTTGAGAATGGTCCAGGACGGACCGAAACGTCGTCGTCCCTTCACCTTCTAGTGTGTGGTTTGGTCAATATACTTCAGCCACGTTATTGTGACTCATCGTCTGCATGAAGATATGACTTACATCAAGACTATTAGACGTGTGAACTAACAACATAATATGGATATTATTCAAACATCAATCTATTCATTTGAATTTACTTCACAACATTACCTACAGATTCATTCATTTGAGCCTATGACATAAATGAAATATTCCATAATTAATATTTTACATAAATATTCCATTCACATATGACGTCATCATCTCACTCATAACAAAACAAAAAACACGTTTTGTTGAAATTAAAACAACAAACTATTATAAAAATGTCTCTTTGAAGCCTCCGAAAAAAAAGTTGTTTAGACAAATGACAACAAAGTTCGGAGAGCCAATGGTTCGCACAGCTGTTGAAGACACTTAGAAAAAAACATATTTTTTGTGACTTGAAAAATACTAATTAGAAAAAACACAGACTTTTTTTATAACACTTGCTGAAAGTTGCTTGGATTGACTTGAATTTTAAAATATATAAATTACTATAAATTTGTGTAACGTTAGTGAAATATGATTTACAATCCCTAATGTTAAACTGTTTGAAATATAAACTATTTTGATATATATACACCATCAGGTATGTACCCCGCTTCTTGCTGTATGCACACTGAGAGTATATTCTAGTCCTGCATCTAGATTCACGAAGCAGTTACGCAAGTACTTACGAACGTGTACATCTTTCCTCAATTTTTGACGGCTTTGGTTACATTTATTAAACAGTTTACAAGCATGAAAACTTGCCAATCAACTGTTGTTATTGTTATAAACAGCCTCCTAGTGCTTCGGAGCTCATTAACTGTTTAATAATTGTAAACAAAGCCGCCGAAGATTGAGAAAAGATGTGCAGGTTCGTAAGTGCTTGCGTAACTGCTTCGTGAATCTGTCTCCTGGCCTATATATGTACTATGTATGTATATGTATATATGTACTATATATGTATATGGCCTATATATGTAGCAGGCTCTTGTGCTGCCCTTAATAACCCTTCAGAGGTTCACAGGCATTAATCCCAACACCAAATATACGTTACATATATTTTCCCAGTGCTGAGATAAGCAAATTAATAATTTCTCTTTTACGTGTAATAAAATATTAAAAATAGTTAAAAACCCTAATTAATAATTGGTAAGCCGTAATTATTAAGAATGAGTATCGAGAATATTAATATAATTAATAATTTTCTTCATTTAAAGATAAACACTAAAGCAGTTTCATCACAAGGAAATATTACATGTATTCAGAATTAAAGTTCAGGTAATTACAAATTAATAACTTAATCAAAATATGTGAATCAAACTATATGAAACAAAATATGTGAATAAGAATATATGAATCATACTATGTGAATCAAACTGTGTGAATCAAAATATGTGCGTTTGGACTCAAGAAAGGGCAAGCAATGCAGCCGTCCTCAAAAACAAAGGCTAAAGTCCATTCCATCCACCCGCCAAACCCCTTGTTTATGGTTGAAAACTGGTTTACACGCGACTCACAACTGATGACGTTCGAACACTTCCGGAACAAGTGCTTCACTGATGACATTTGTTCGAACCACAACGCTATAAATGCTTCACCCACGTACTACAAATGCAAACAATCGCCAACAGAACCTAAACACCTAACCTAACCAATGCTTAAATATGCACAATTTACTAATATATAACAATATTAATTTATATTTGAAAAATCCTATTTTGAATGAACAGCATGTTAAAATTGATGAATGCGTCTTTGGGGTCGACCACTGGATGGAATGGACTTGGTCAGAGGATGGGTTGAGCAATGAAATGCAATAAAGAACATAGTAGAATGCAAAGAAATGCAGTCAACATAGAAATACAACATTGATATCAACGTAGATACACAACAATGAAATACAATCAACGCAAGATACGCAACAAAGTCAAACAATGACAAAATATACACACAAATACAACATATTTAATACAAACAACAGCACTAACCAAAAAAAATGTAAACATAATACAGTATTTATAAAGAGCGGTGTAAACAGTCAATAATGCTAACCATAAACATTGACACAAAATTGTTTACAAAAATATAAACACTAGCAAAGAAAACAGTAAATAATTAAAATAAACAAAAAATATGCAAAGAAGTTATGAATACAACGCTAGACTATAATTACAAATTGTAATCATAATTATTATTAATAATAAGTTTAGTATTATGAATCAAATTTCCACACACACACACACACACACACACACACACACACACACACACACACACACACACACACACACACACACACACACACACACACACACACACACACACACACACACACACACACACACACACACACACACACATACATCTTGGTGTTTGATGTGAGCAACGGAGAACCTGGTGTCGGAGGAATACACCTGTCCCCCAGCTGTCAACAGGTGGTCCTCGTCTCTCTTCAGCCACGTCACCTGCGGGAAGGGAGACACCTGGTTTATTGACATCAACAGTGCTCGTGTAAATAGTCGTATTAGAGGTAGTTGTACCATTAGAAATAGTACTAATAGCAGGTATCCTAGACACCCAAACTACACACCTGGAATTAAGAGACAGTGACCGCGTTGCAGATGTGTGGTTCGGGAGTGTGTGTGTATTTTTAAACCACGTTATTATCTCTGTCATAGTGAAGGTAGTTTTAGTAGCTCAGTAGCAGCATAAGCAGCAGTAGGAATAGTTTGGTAATGTCAGTTCCAATGTCTGTAGCCCCGTCATGGAACCCCACCTCAGAGGCACGTCAGTAAACATATAAGGGCCACGAGACAAGCTACAGGCACGTAAGGATTGAGTGTGAGAATAATGGACAAGATGAGTTGAAAGGGGAGGTAGTTGGGACTTCATCTATAATTTCAAGAGTGGGCCATTGTACGAAGCATGAGAGGTTGTGGACCATTGCAGTAACCAACCGGTGACTGAAAGGCGGGGTTCAGGAGCTAAGGCCCGTCGTGCAAGCACATGCAGGTTAGTGTTTGTTGACATACTTGATGGGTTATCCGGCGGTGCCCGGGTCTCGACCCCTCTTTCACTTGTGACTCTTTCCCTCTTTGCTATCTCTCTTCCAGTGTTCCCCTCTCTCCTCTTTTCCTCATCCTCCCCTTTCTTTCCCTCTCCTCACTTGTTATTACTCTCCCGCCTTACCCCAAAATCACCCCCATTCTCCCCCTCTCTCTTCTTTGCTCAACATCCCCTCCCTCCCTCCTCCTTATTCTCTTAAATATTCCCTTATTATATATGATTCCTTTAAACCAGCATTCCACCTTCTTCCCTTTCCTACCCTTGCTCTCTCTCTCTCTCTCTCTCTCTCTCTCTCTCTCTCTCTCTCTCTCTCTCTCTCTCTCTCTCTCTCTCTCTCTCTCTCTCTCTCTCTCTCTCTCTCTCTCTCTCTCTCCATTCTCACCTCCGCTACAAAGTTTTGATTGATTTTCAACACGATCCGTCGAACCAAGGAACTGCATCATAATCCGGTCTCGTGTCTTGTTCCAGTCTTGTACCTTGTTCCAGTCTTGTACCTTGTTCCAGTCTTGTATCTTGTACCTTGTTCCAGTCTTGTATCTTGTACCTTGTTCCAGTCTTGTATCTTGTACCTTGTTCCAGTCTTGTATCTTGTTCCAGTCTTGTACCTTGTTCCAGTCTTGTATCTTGTTCCAGTCTTGTATCTTGTTCCAGTCTTGTACCTTGTTCCAGTCTTGTATCTTGTTCCAGTCTTGTATCTTGTACCTTGTTCTAGTCTTGTACCTTGTTCTAGTCTTGTACCTTGTTCTAGTCTTGTACCTTGTTCTGGTCTTGTACCTTGTTCCAGTCTTGTACCTTGTTCCAGTCTTGTACCTTGTTCCAGTCTTGTACCTTGTTCCAGTCTTGTACCTTGTTCCAGTCTTGTACCTTGTTCCAGTCTTGTACCTTGTTCCAGTCTTGTACCTTGTTCCAGTCTTGTACCTTGTTCCAGTCTTGTACCTTGTTCCAGTCTTGTACCTTGTTTCAGTCTTGTACCTTGTTTCAGTCTTGTACCTTGTTTCAGTCTTGTACCTTGTTTCAGTCTTGTACCTTGTTTCAGTCTTGTACCTTGTTTCAGTCTTGTACCTTGTTCCAGTCTTGTACCTTGTTTCAGTCTCGTGTCTGGATGTTTAGCGTTTGACAAGACACTTTTCCCAATGACGTTTTTTTTTATACTTTAAAACTTTTTTTAAATAATTATTTTTAAATTGTGTTTGTAGGCTGACAGTGATGACCAAAATGTACCAAGTCAGCCTGGTTTTACCCGCGCGTTAAATTGTCTGACGGAATCGTTTTAGCGAAATACATATTGTGGGTGTTGGGGATGGGAGGAGTGGGGGGGCGGGGGTTAGACGAATGCTGGGAACATGTAGAGGGATAGATTGAGAGAGAGACACACGGAGATAGAGATTGTGGACAGAGGAGAGGACGTAGGGGTGTGTGTGTGGGGGGGGGGTGAATTAATCAATTATTTGATATCAGACAGAAATATAATCGATTTTTCATATACACGTTGAAATTTTCTTAAAATATTACGTTTGTACGCGAACTTGAGTATATAAAGTTTCTTCTCAATGCCATGGTACAATCTCGTGAACAAAAATAGAAAGACAAAGAAGACAAAACCATAGAAATATTATTAATAGTTGTTACAAATGTTTCAGTCACAGTTGATCTATGCCAGCATCCGGCGTGTGTATGCCAGACCTGTCTGTTTCAAGGGAGGCATTTCCCCGGGGCTTATATCAGGCATACCTCACAACACAATATTATAAATGTTCTTTAAAACGAAAATGTCCCGTTCTCCCCTCTGTATATATATGCTTTAAAATATGGACATGCAGAGAGAATAGTGGAGGGAGAGGCGGGAGTGAATAGTTGATGTGTTTTTGGGAGTGTGTGTGTGTGGGTGTTAGTGGGTGTGGTGGTGTGACCTAGGCAATGCTGGGGGGTGGGTGTGTGTTTGTGTGGGTGGATATCACTCACTCTAGAGTCGCAGAAGAGAGTGATTGGGTGGGTGTAGTGGTGTGGGTCGGGGAATGTTGTGGGTGATTGTGTAGTTAGTGTTGGCATAAGGTTTGGGTTTGATGTTTTGGGCTTATGATGGGTATGTTTGTGGGGCACGAAGTTAACAGTAGGGTAGTGGTTGGTGCTGGAGTTTGCGTGAGAGGTGGGCGCCCCCTGGTGTGGGGGATGGGGTGTGTGTATGTTGGGGTAATTAGGTAGTTGATGTGAGATTGTGGGTAGAGGAGAATGGAAGAGCTATAAGGCAAAGAGAAGCGTTATAATGCAGTGTGGGGAATTGAGGGCAAGGCTAGTGGGTACGTGGGCATGTTGGACTTAAAACATGGGATGAATAGGTTGAACTTCGGAATATATTGGAAATAAGAGTAATACAATTTTCTCACTGGGGATAAAACTCCTTGTTCCTCTTGACATGTAAACAAACATATTACTTCTCAATCAAACAACTAGTAATATTTAAACAACAATTACAAACAGGTTTCTCTGCCCTCTGACGAATATTAAAAGCAGTTGCGTGACCGCATATAACTAGCGAATGTTTTAATGATAACATTGAAGCTTTCCTGAGATATAGAACGGACACGACAAAGATAAGGAGGCTTCATTGGTAAGTTTCAACAGCAGTCCCACATATGTGCTAAAACTCGTCTATCTGAAGTCTGTAATTAGCAGGACGAGTCGTTAACGTGATATTAAGAAGAAACCTCTTGGAAGAAGCAGGTAATAAATACATAATAATAATAATAATAATAATATTAATAACAATAACCACAGAAAAAGATTTCTACCTTGTTAATTCCAAGATAAATTTAAGTAGTCATGATATATATCTATATCTATAAATAGAGCTGTGTATCTGTTCGAGGATGGAAGTCAGACGCTTGATGGTAGCGTCACTAAATTTTCCCCCAGTAATTGTTGTCGGGTAAATGCCTAACATGGCCGGGGGCGGGATAGGCGTCAATGGAAAGAGTGCCACGTGAGACAGTTAAACTTAACCCCCCACGAGAAGTCTCGAAATAGCATTGACTCGATTGCGAATTATAAGTACTATTATTATTTATATTTTTGTCATATCGTGAACTGTAATGTGGTCATTGAGCAGTGGCAGGTACCCATGCCACTGTGACACGAAAGTGACACGAAAGACACGAAAGTGAGACATGCTACCTCCTCCTGCGGCAGAAACATCACGTCACTCACACATCACACGTCTAGGTCTGAGAGAGAGAGATGGAGAGGGAGGGAGAGAGGGAGAGAGAGGAAAGGGAGAATAAAAGAGAAACAAAGACAGAGGCAGACAGAAAGGTAGACACAGAAACAGGAAGATAGAACCAGGAAGACTGAAAAACATAGGGTCTTAGAGAGATAGGTCTGAGGTTTTCTATCGTGAAAAAACTCACACACAACACAACACACACACACACACACACACACCACACACACACACACACACACACACACACACACACACACACACACACACATATATATATATATATATATATATATATATATATATATATAAAGGAAGGGGTGGTAGGAGAAAAGCACACAGAAACTGTATTTGAGGGACCTACATTCCCTTCAATGCGTTATGTGTGGTTTCCTCCGAGCTATGGGTCCCCTTTCTTCCAGCCAGAGGTGGTACTCCCTTCCCTATTTAAATATATATATATATATATATATATATATATATATATATAATATATATATATATATATATATATATATATATATATATAATATATGGTTTATGTATAAAAACATTGAACGTGGCGGGTTTGTTCAATGGGTTCGAATATTTTAACCTGTTTAGACTTCCATAAAGTTGGAATGGTTAGGGTGGTTGAAATTATACAGAGTATTAGACACGAAAGTGAGACCTAAATGGAACTTATTGTGTAACTGGAACGCATTGTTAAACTGAATCTCTTCACGTGAGAAACTGAATCTCTTCACGTGAGAAACTGAATCTCTTCACGTGAGAAACTGAATCTCTTCACGTGAGAAACTGAATCTCTTCACGTGAGAAACTGGATCTCTTCACGTGAGAAACTGAATCTCTTCACGTGAGAAACTGGATCTCTTCACGTGAGAAACTGAATCTCTTCACGTGAGAAACTGAATCTCTTCACGTGAGAAACTGAATCTCTTCACGTGAGAAACTGAATCTCTTCACGTGAGAAACTGGATCTCTTCACGTGAGAAACTGAATCTCTTCACGTGAGAAACTGGATCTCTTCACGTGAGAAACTGAATCTCTTCACTCACCGTAGTTCATGGTACAATGACAAAGTGAAATCCCAGTGAATATAAAACAGCAGCACACATCGCTTCCTGTTATTAAGTATTGAGTGACCATTGTAACTACACCAAGAAAGACGATAACGTAGAACAAAAATAAAAAAATATATAAAGAGGAGATTCAGAGAAAGTTGGCGTCAACAGTTAGAAACTTGGCAAGTTACCCGATAATGAAGGAAGGGCATTGTGCCTCATTCTAACTTCATGCTAATGATGCAACCCTCTTCCTAATGAACCCAAGTTTGGTTCTGTTGATAGTGATAGTGTGAGGGGGGGGGGGGGTGGGAGTGTTTTTTTTTTGGGGGGAGGGGGGGGGGTGGTAGTTGTATTAGTGCGAAATGAATGTGTCACAAAGCAAAGTGTGTCACTATAGTCAAGTAACACTATTTATCTTTCGTGGAGTGTTATACTCGCCCACAACTACCATGGCAAACTTTCAGGGAATTCCTGTTTATATTAAGATGTAGAAACACGTGAAATAAGAGCTTATGTTATGCTATATCTAAGGATTATATTTTATTTTGGTCAAATAAGATGACGCCTGATAGAGTCCTTGAGGTCATATTGATTGACGATGCTTGACCAGTCACATGACCTGGTGGAGCCAATGAGAGGAGAGCTATGTTCTCATGTTTCTGTAAGATCACCCAATGACTGAGCCAGAGTTTTGAGCAAAGACGACCCCTAGCGAAACAGGAAATACGGGAGAACTTAATTTTATAAAGACCTGGTTGACAGGAAGATGATTTTCCGGTAAAACTTGTGCGAAAGTAAAGATCTCTCTGCCGTGTGCCCGGAGTTACAGCGGTTACTGTGAGACACTGACCATGTTCCATTATCAGTCCGTTTCCAGAACTCAGCAACAAGTCATCTGGGGTGTGGAGCAGCAACCTGGTGTAATACTCTGCACCAACTGCACTCTTTACCAGGCATCCAGTTGTGTGAGAACATGTGCTCACCACGGCCCTATGTTTGGCGTGGGAAGCCCTGCCGTTATTTAGCTAAACAACATTCACGAGGAAGTTAAATCACGATAATGATCTCGACAAGAAAAGTCTAACACAGTGCTCCCCTTCGTTCTCCCACTTTTCCCACATATATAGATGGAGTCACCTGCAAACCGTGGAGGGAAGGTAAACAGGTCGTATGGGATTACACCTGTGCATCTACATTGGCTGATATCTATTTACGTTACAGCTCAGCGGAGGGAGGTGGGGTCGCACCTTCAGGGAGACCCAGAAAATCAACAAGTACAGAGACCTAGAACGTTGGTTACAGGTTCGTGCCGATAGCTCTGAGGCTCTGGGCGCCTGGGGTAAATGTGCACTCAAGTTTTTAAAGGAGGTGGGCGAGGAACTCATTGGGAAAACTAGAGACCCACGAGCAGCCAGTTTCCTGTTCCAGCGCCTCATGTCGCAGTTCAGAGGGGAAATGCGTGCTGTATCCTGGGTACGCACCCAACCTCCGAGGAGCTGGACGAGGTCTTCGAACGCTGATTGTTTAATTGTTATATATTTGTGTGTGTGTGTTCTCTGTAAACTGTAGCATTGCAATAAAATAAAACAAAGATACAAAAAATAATGGGGGTGGTAGGAGAAGAAAAGAATAAAGTATTCAGTGAGAATCCACAAGATCGTCTCTGAATGCTCTTTGTTTTCTTCTTCGAGGATGTGGGTCCCTGCAATTGCACCAGAGGTGGTACCCCTAATATATATATATATATCTATATATATAATATATATATATATATATATATAAAAGATTAATTCAAGAGAAACGTTCCTTCAGTGGTCCCCGGCACCCAATGGCTCTTCGTGTTCTGTCCTTTCAATGTCCTCATTGTTGATTCGCCCTCAACTTGTTGTAGTGACCAATTCTTCTCTCAACATGTCATCCTCAGCTTTGTAGAGAGCCTTTGTTACTCTGCTGTCCCGTGAGAGTCTTTGTGTGAGGATGCTGTCAAAGGTACGGATGTGTATAAAGAATGATAGCTCCATGTTGACCAGTTTTGCTGGCTTCTACTTAGCTTCATACTGCAGCTAATGTGCACAATAAGCTACAGTTTAGGTGCACGTGTCCACACCAAACTGCAGCTTAGGCTAACAATTTCAATCTACCCTAAATTAAGCTTTTACCCATTAGAATCAGGCTCTAGAATTTTAATTTTTTTTAATCTTTGTTCAGAATTTGCGCATTTAGACTCATTTCGCTAATTCATTCGTTTTTTTTATGTAATATCTCAGCAAATTTAATTAGTTTTGAAGGTCATAATTAAGCGTGTTTTAAGGTCACTGCTTGAATTACTGAACCTTTTAGTAGGGACAACATTTTTTCCAACTTTTATTCTCGTGTTTTTTCTTCCTTTCGTAAACCTCTTTACGTTTTTTTTATTAATTTCGTGTTTTTTAATTTCGTGTTCCTCTTTTCGTGTTATTCCTCGTTTCGTTATCACTTATTCCTCATTCTATTCTTTTCGTAATTTGAAGGATAATAATAATCCTAACTCTCATTGTTATCCAGAACTTGGTTCACTGTGCGAGAATCTATATCAATCCATTCACCTGTTGTTAACCCCTGGTTCATTCCCTGGCTCCACCACCCAACTTGTCTCCTGGTTCTGTGGGTGTTGGGGTTCAGTGTCACAACACTGGGGTTCTGTGGGTGTTGGGGTTCAGTGTCTCAACTCTGAGGTTCTGTGGGTGTTGGGGTTCAGTGTCTCAACACTGAGGTTCTGTGGGTGTTGGGGTTCAGTGTCTCAACACTGAGGTTCTGTGAGTGTTGGGGTTCAGTGTCTCAACACTGAGGTTCTGTGGGTGTCTGGGTTCAGTGTCTCAACACTGAGGTTCTGAGTGTTGGGTTCAGTGTCTCAACACTGAGGTTCTGTGAGTGTTGGGGTTCAGTGTCTCAACACTGAGGTTCTGAGTGTTGGGGTTCAGTGTCTCAACACTGAGGTTCTGAGTGTTGGGTTCAGTGTCTCAACACTGAGGTTCTGTGGGTGTTGGGGTTCAGTGTCTCAACACTGAGTTCTGAGTGTTGGGGTTCAGTGTCTCAACACTGAGGTTCTGTGAGTGTCTGGGTTCAGTGTCTCAACACTGAGGTTCTGTGGGTGTCTGGGTTCAGTGTCTCAACACTGAGGTTCTGTGAGTGTTGGGGTTCAGTGTCTCAACACTGAGGTTCTGTGAGTGTTGGGGTTCATCCTGTAATAAAAATGTATAATTGTTACTGAGAACTGTACAGAAATAGGAGAAATTGGGGGTGGCTAAATTTTCACCCACGATATTGTGAGATCTTATCTCCTCCGTAGAACACCCACAGATCATTTATATTTCTTTCGTGTGGGAGAGACTGGATGCACAGCGTTCAGTCGTGTTTATTACGTTTAAATCCCCATTAAATGCTTGTCTCTATTTTCAATGTTGTCTAAACAACTTTAGATGATGGATAGGAATCCCCCAATGAATGGGGGAAGAGCTCTGTTATACATCTGATTTTAGGAGTTGTAGAGTGTTATACATCACTTAGGATTCTTGGTGATGCCTTGTCCTTCGTAGAGAAGATAGTTTCCTAGAGCATTTTTAGTGGTTTAGGAAATTGAAGGAAATCATTACAACAGCAACAAGTTATTGGCAAATGACTCTTGTGTGAGTAGAGATCACTGGCGCGTATTTCCATAAACACACATATTAGCATATGTATTTTTTCATGAATATTCATATTTTTTGTATACATGCCTATTTTGTATATATACTTTTATTTCCATGCATATGGCCGTATTTTCATACATACATATATTCATTTACATTCGTATTTTTATAAATGCAATCTTCTACATGTATGCACAATGGTATTCTCACATAAATTCATGTGCTCCAATAAATACCCTTTTCCATTACCGCATACATATACACATACGCATTTAAAACCCCTCTCTGTCTCCCTGAAAATTATGTACAATAAAAACTAATATTTTAGATTTCATATTAATTGCTTGGGGGGGGGGGATGTTTTTGGGTTAGATTATATTTCGTAAAGTGTGGCACTGGTGCGGATCCCGAAAAGCTTATGATACTCCCACACCCCACATTGTTCATGTATGGAAGTTGGGTGAGGCTAGCCCCGAGCGTCTGGTCTTCAACCTATGACAAACAGAAATGAAAACATTCTCTCTCTTACAGATATAAATAAATTAATAAGGATGAAAATAATTACTTTGAATAAATGAACACAAATTCATTTTTAAACAATTATTTTGAAGAGCACGAATGAATAAATAAATAAATATAGAACCAATTTGACACTAACAGGTATCCTCCCCATAATTATCTCCCTGAAACCTTCTCTTCCCACACCTCTCCCCATATATACCTCCCCTATACGACCACCCCCAATACCTCTCCCCACTCCACCATTCCCCCCCCCCACCCCCCTACGGTGGACGGTAGAAGCACGGTCTCGCTTCATGCAGGTCGGCGTTCAATCCCCGACCGTCCACAAGTGGTTGGGTACCATTCCTTCCCATACATCCCATCCTCTACTTGTTTTTCCTCCCCATTCCCTGAACCCCTACGTCCTTCCCCATACCCATTTCTTCCAATCCACACACCCCCTTACCATCCCATAATCACCCATCCGATCAAAGACC